CTCCTCCACTTCCGTGCTACTGCAAGCAAGGGGACTGCGTGGGTCCTGTTATCGGCTATATTGCGGAAGCTTTATCTTCAGACATCCCTCTTTGGGCTCGTGTCCTGCAGGCACTGGAGCAGGTTCCACTTTAAGTGCAGCAGAAGCAAGAGGCCAAGTTACCAGCCAGAGGATTATTCCCCATCAAAGCAATGTCCAGTTTCTTCATGGAATAATATCAAGTCCCTATCCTGAATGCCTTCAGTTGCTTTTCAAGAAAGCAGCAGTTTGGGGCAGTGATAATTCAGTCATCTTAATTTCATTAAACTCCAGAGTTGTTTCCAATAAGCCTCCACTCTTTTAACTAGCTGATATAGAGCTGAATGACAAAGATGTGCTCAAGCAAGCCAGATGAATACACACAAAGAACTCCGTTCCTTTCATATGGAAGCTGAAAGCTGATATATTATATGTCTGCATGCAATAAAACTTTCTGTTTTAATGTTCCTAGGGAAGATTGAAACTCAATCCTTGCAAAACATCTGGTTCAAAACTTCAGCATTTTAATATTAAAAGCTTCCTGAAATCTGTTTGTGCAACTGTACCATGCAGGTTTGCTTCATAGCTGTATAGTAGATAGTTTCTAACTCATTTTGTTATCCTTGCACTGACTTTGATATCTCCTGCTGATAACACAACATCAGTAATAGTGCTACTCCAAGTTCAATAGTTAGCTGATATCCCAAGCACAAATTCTGAAGATAACTGCATAACATTTAGGTTTAATTTTATACCATCTTACATTCAACTTCAAGGTTTAAATTCTTTGTTCCTTAAAATTAATTAAATTCCTTTAAGTTATAGATTTGTCTTCTCAAATACAGTGTTCAGCATCGCTTACAGGTAAAATAGGTCCCTTCTGCAACATCTCTGGATAAGGCGTGAAGAAACTTAGCATGCCTTTGTGAACAACAGTTGTCACGTTACTGCTGGGACTGGTATTTAGAACTTTGTGTCAAAGCCCTGGAGGGCTTGGAAAAAAGATAACAGCAGTGAAGTGGAAAATTTTTTCCACATCTAATAGTCATCCTGAGTGTCCATGGGTAGACAAGCAAAAGGAAATCAGAAAAAGCTCATGCATTTTAAAGCACGCTAAGCCTTGTGAGTTGGTCTTGCTGACCTCAAAAGTTGTAGCTTAATAGTTTCAAATAAAGCCACATTAAATCTTAGTGTGATGTTTTAAGTTACTCACACTGATTTCATGCCTTCAGCTGGTTTCATGTTTGTGCTGAGCACAGCGCAGAGTCCTGACCTGACCCTCCTCCAGTCAGGCTAATTGTGCCAGCCTGACTCTGAGCTGCAGGGCTCACGAACTTTGGGATCCTGTCATGCTAACACAGCTGGGCTACTTCTGAGGCCTAAGCCGGTATTTTTGCAAGATGTGTAGCTTAGACTAACTTTAGCTATCCAACTTAGCCTAGCCTCAGCTCCTCAGTCTGAGGCCTTCCAGAACGACTGAGAGCGTCTCAGGAGCTTGCCTCTCTCTCCAGGCTAAAGAAGGAGCTTCAGTTCCTAACTTCAGCTACTCAGCTAGAGCTCAAAGACAGACTGAATACAAGCTGAAGGAGGGCTCCAAGAGCCTTTGAAATACAGGAGAAAGCAGAAACCGCTCAGGGGCTCCTGAAGCACTAGAGAGGATTAGGAACAAAACAAAAAAAAAACATTCACACAACAAAAGTTCAATTCTGTAGCCTTAAAACTCATACTAACTGTTAGCAAAGCTTTGTGCGTGGTTTAGATTAGCCATGTAATTACACCATAAACTCCCACTAGGTTTTAATTTCATCTGAAAGCAGTGGAACTAATGGTGTGCTTACAAATAAAGCTAATTAAGATTTTGCAGAACTGGGGACTATTTCATAAAAGTATCAAGAGATTTAATGTCAATATGTAGCACTTTGCATGACTCATAGCATCTATAAATATGTACAATTATTTTCAGCCTCATCATTACATGGCTGGCCTAGCTCAGAAAGAAATGTGAAAATACATAGTAGAAAACAACTCTTCCAAACAGCAAACAGTTGGGTAAATACATAACTGGAACAAAATCCTACAGCTGATGTATAACACAGGAAATTCCATTTCAACATATTTCTTGAGGTTTAATCCTGCCAGGTGGAATGGATCAACAAAAAGGGAGAAGTCACAGGACATTGCGAAAAAATGTTATACATTTGCGGAGGTCATCCAACAGGACAGAAGGAAACTCCACAAAGCAGCTCCAACTCTCATCACTCAAGTTCAGCTAGGTTCAAGCCTGATGTCTATCTGCATTGTTACAATTATTTACGTTTCAATTTATCAGTATCTTGCAAAAAGCCTATTTTTACTGAAATTACTTTTCAAGCTATTTCCTTCTCTTTTTTTCCAATATATACATATTAATTTCAATTAAAATACAGTGGTACTTGAATAACAGTCGGGGTGGGGAAAAAGACACTTTCTGCAACTTGGTAACAAAAGCTTCTTTACACTGTCTCCAGTATAATTCAATATTAGAAGAGTACCTCATATTTTCCACCAGCAACAGCAAGCACTGAATCATCTATTTGTATTAGACTGTGAAAAAAGGAACATGTTGGTACAATGTCATGACATGGCATACTGTGGCTGATTGAAGCACTCAAATTCAGAGGAAAATAAAATATTAAGAGGAAACTGATGAACATGGCCGCTGAGACAAAAAATTGGAGCTCTCCACAACAGGTCACTGCAAATCAGATTTGGAATGTTAAAAGAAAAGAGAGTGGATAATTGATATGAAACCTGAAGGTATAATTGGTGAGATTTTTGTTTAATTAAACTCAAAACGGAAATGGGAGAAGCAAAGATTTCCAGAGTGAGCACGACTAATAACTGCCTTTCAAGAACAGAGTGTTGGGTTCCTCAGTGTTCTTCAAAGGCTAAATTTAAGCCCAAGATTAACTGTAACAGGCATGGTAGCTCTAGACAATTTTGTCCTCAGATTCCTTAGACCTCCTTGTTCAGCCATTAGATATATAAGAAATAACTTGAGAGCGAAGAACTAGGATTTGGTGGTTTTGTGAAAATAATAATGCCTACTTCCATGTGGTTACATAGTGGTTATAATAAAGTGTGAGGAATAACATCTAAGACGATGCAACACACTTTGCAATGTTCAAAATCACCTGAATTGGGAAAAGGAGCCCGACACCCACCCAGGACTCCAGGTCTCAGCATTAGCTTCGGTACAGACTTCCCTTAAGCACTGACTTTGCAAGGTGCAAGAGTGTGTTTAACCAGACACCCACAAAGACCTTCAGAAGACAGACAATTCTGAAAATGAGATGTGAGATCTGTGCCAGCAGCAGCCTCCAGTCTCTCCCTCTCTCCAGTGCTGCTCTCCCTCCCTGCAGCGCTGAGACTGTCTGCTTTCTTGCAAATTCCTGTGAACTATGAGCAATGTGTTGAAACTGCCCTTTTTACTCTGGATCAAGCAAAGCTTTCTCTGTATCAAGTCAGGACCAGAAAGGCCAGCAGTAACTTTTGCTAGTAAGTGAATATTAGCAAAGATAAATGCCAGAAATGAGAGGGCAAACCCTTGCAGTGAAAGATTAAAGTCTCTGTAAGGATTCATTACACATGTAGGCTAATTATATGCGTTTCAAAAGTGTCTGTAATAGACTGTCTTCCTTTGTGCAAATGTATTTTCCATTTACTCTTTATCCTGGGCTAAGCATGAGGCCCAGAGAGACTGCCCCTTTCACTTCAGCCCAAGACCCAGGGGTGCTTAACAAACAGTCTGGCCAAGGGATTGCAAAGTCTGCAAGGGTGCCTGCTTGGTATTGCCACAAAAGCAATTTGAAAGGTTTTGTGTCATGATGAGTCTTGGTCAAGGAGTCAGCAGCATTTCAGTGAGCCAGCAATTCATATATATTAAAGCAAAATACACATTCCCCTCCCATCCATCATTTTCAGAAAATAAGAGTGGAGCTATCTTAATTTTTAATGCAAATTGAGGACTTGCAGTTCTCATTGGAGCTAACAGGTTGTCCACTCCTCCTGATAACGTGTTTGAAAGTAAAACCCTCAAATCTCATGCCTAAGCAGCATTAATCATGATAGATCTTAGCCATCAATCATCAATATGTTTTCATGAACTATGAGGTAAACAAAAACAAATGGGATGTTTTAAACATGCTGTTACAGACCATAAGCTACAGACATCTACGTTCCCTGCCTCCTCTTTGACTTCAAGGGACCGTTATTGCTGAATATCACAAGGTGGGATATGACTTGCTAGCAATACTTGTCCGTATTTTGTCTCAAGCATCAGTTAGCATTTAAACATCTCATTTCAAAGTATCCACAAGTTCATGCAGGTCAGATCCGAGACATATTTTGCATACATGGATTAACTGAAGAAAATTGTTAAGAGCACAAATCCCCAAAACATTAGCAAGCATAATGATGTACAAAATGCCACTGTTTGATTATCTCATTTGAGACTCTACTCATATGCCAGCCTGCATCTGGATTCCTGAATGTTTCTCGATTTCTATATCTCCAGAAGGTGTACAAAGAAGGCCATTATGTAATCCAGTGTTTTTTATAGCAAACTAAAACTTCACTGAAGAGATTAAACTTTGGAAGCTATTTTTAGCCAAATTAATTGTAACAATTTCACTAAGAACACAAGCTGCAGATGTCTCCTAAGGTAAAAAGCAAGACGATGGAAGAGCTAGTAAAACGAACGGCTACCACTGACAGAAAAATAGCAGATCCAGATGACATTAATTACGCAATTCTGCCCAACGCTCCCCCTAGTGGTTTTGCCCACAGCGAGGAGCACAAAGTCCCATACACGCAAAATCTTCCAGCCGAATGACAAAACGTCCTGTTAATAGGATTAAGTACCTTCTCATCGGATAAGTAGAACATGGCAAAATCCCCGACACTCCCAGCAATTAGATCAGAACACAGTCCGACCCCTTCCTGACGCGGGGAGCAATTTTGCAGAGGAGGTGTTTCGGTATTCATGGTAAATATGTTGGGGTTTTTTAATTTTATTTGGTAATGGGTTTGCGTTTTTTTGCAAAGTTAATTTTTCTTTCCTATGAATGTAAAGGTACAATATGCAAGTAACTATAGAAGTAAATCCAGGCTATAAATAAATCCAGGCTCTTAATTTACATCTGCACTTGCAGCTGACTACTGCACCTCCAGGAAAGCTATACCGGCTAACAAGAAGGCACTTAAGTACTGCATTCACATAATCAGATAAGAACTATAAAGCGTAGTTGCACGATTTCTGAAAAATAAACCTTTCTCCTCTAACTGCTCTTCAGAGGGAAATAAAGAAAATGGCATTTCTTTCCCTTCTTTTGTAGGAATTTCTTTCAATTGCTGATGTTTTTGTTTACAAAACTGCTCTAATTGCCAATTTCTTGGCACACATATTATTGCATCTGCTATATTAAGTATTATCCTGAAGGACAATGAAAGGAAATGTATATCTGGAGACAAGGAAGGGAAAAACATTCTAGAAATTTCCCTTTTTAAATTTGGTAATAAGTTTAGTGAGGATACATTTCTAATATGAATTAAGAACATAACGTGGGATTGGTAATTATTGTGTTTCACAAGGTAGAAAAGGGACAGACTGAGCTGCATAAGCTTTTGGGCTATTATCTATATATGTGTGTCCTGATTCTATTACACTACTGTGCAAACTCAGTGGAATTCATCTAGTTAGTCTGAATAGATTACAAACGAGGTCAAGCTTCTTATTCATATGTTTTCACTAACAGTAGAATTTAGGTGCATGTTATAGATCTCAGAAGCCCTAGTTAAAGTCAAAAGTAATGCGAACATGTATAACACTTAGTAAACCTCACATCTAGGAATTTCAGCATCATGAAGATGCTTACATTTAACTGCACTTACCTGCTTCTTTCACAGAAAAAACATGAAGTCCTCCTGGTTATTTATAATATATGTGCTATGGCTGAAAGGTCATCAGTGTGCACCAACAAGGCAGGAGGAAATGAATCTCCGGGAAAACCTGAAACGTATGTATGTTTTTCTTACCAGGGGTGTGCTGGAAGCCCCTGGGCCCAGGCCTTCAGTCTCCTGGTGTAATTTGACTTCTACACCCACTGGGGTCAAGAGGATCCGCTCTCATGTGTGGAGTTTAGAAACCATCATACAGCTGACTACATGCATCCACACGCACACAATGGGGAGATAACAACAACCAGGATGAGAAAGTAATGGGATTAACAGATAAGCACCCCTTTACAAAAAAGTATTTACAGCATTTTTATAGGTTATTTGGTCCCTCATAAATCATTAGAATATAAACTGAACCCAAAATTCAATTCAACAGATTTTGAATTATTTTGTTTGTTTAAATAATCTTGAAAATGTTTACTCTACAATCACATACTTCACTGGAAAGATGGTTATTTAAAAAAAAAGAAAAAAGAAATTACTTAGTTTAGAATAAAAGCAGCTATTCTGCACATAGTCACCTTTAAGCACGGCTTTCTTTTGTGGACAGGAATCCCAAGAGGATCAGCCACTAAATATTCCTTTGCTTCAATCTATGTTAATAATATTTCTGCAATAAATAAAAAGTTAGGGGAGGGGAACAAAGTTCTAAAGGAAAAAATGACTGACATGTACTTTTGGCAGTCTCAGGGTGATGTGTTCATTGTTTGTTTTGTATAGCTCCAGTGATATTGAGGATATTTCTGCAAAGGGAACAAGTACAGATAAACGACAGGCAATCACGCAGAGCTTCGAGGTGCAATGTGTGGGCCAACCCGGGCTTTCACCACTAAAACTCTATGATCATTACTTCACAGGAAGTCTAGAGATTGCATTCTTATGAAAGCAAGCTGAAGGCACCTGTAATTTACGTTTTCAAAATCTAAAGGGAAGCTGTCACAGGCTGCTTTCAGATAAAAGATAAATATATAGGTTATGGCATTAGAAAACTGATGAGTAATCGTTGGAGATATCCAAAACCCAGGATGAGGTTCTGAGCAACCTGCTCTGGTTGACCCTGCCTTGAGCAGGGGCGTCGGACTCAATACTGTCCAGAGCTGCCTTCCAACCTCAACTGTTCCGCAGTTCAGTGACCAGCAGTGGGACAAATGAGTATAAAGCTTGAGTTACACCCAGCCAATCACTGGGAAGGGCTCTGGGACAGATTCTTTTCTGACGGAAATTGCCTTGGTTCTGTGTTATTCAGCATTCTCTATCTCAAGATTTGGCTCTGCAACCGTAGGGAAACAGAGCTGTTTCATTCTCCTTCGTTGTCAGTGCATGACAATTTGTGATAGCGTCAAAAACTGATTAAGTCACTGTATAATTTGGCTTTTTTAGTATTATCTGAAGTTGGAGAGAAGTATGTAGATGAAGAGGTAAAGAAAGCTTTGATTGGCATTAAGCAGATGAAAATCATGATGGAAAGAAATGAAGACAAGCACGTAGATCTGATGAAAACCTTGAAGAAGAGCAGTGAAGAAAAACAGGTAACTGAAGTGCATCTGGGGTTTTTTGTTTGTGTTTCTGCTAAGTTGTGGCTATTTTTAATCAAAGATGAGGCAGGTTGTACGTGGCTTTATTCTGCCTCCTGGAATTAGTACAGCATGCCACTGTGCTTAGGCACACAAACAACCTGGAAGGGATCCCTTGGTGTCTCCCTTTTTCTGGGAAGAATGTAAACCACATCGTATGTACACTCTGAGCAGCATACATCTCTTTATGTGGTCAGAGGTTTGATAGGAAATTTGCTTCTGCCCCTTTCTCTCACTAGTGGAAAAGAACTCTTATGGCACCTCTGCAGGGGTTCTCACTGCCTGTCTCTTGGAAGCTGCGGCTGGGCCAAGAGACATCCTTTACTAGCCCATCAGGAACCCGGATGTTCACATTTCAGAAGAATTTAAAGTATTAATTTATATTTGCCAGTTTCTTAAGAAAGAGCTTGCCTGCTGGCAGAACCCTGGCAGACTGAGGCTTCTACCCTGAGGGAAGCTTTCAGACTGTGCTGGAATAAGGCACTGAACAAAAGCAGCACCTGCCTCACTGGTGCCTCTGGCAGATTGTGCCATTCTTTTGAAAGCTAGAGGTGAAGAGTTTCCATCTTTCCTTAGAAATACAGCTTTCTAACCAAGTGGCATGCTGTTATTTTTTGCCTGTGGCTGAATGTCTAAGCTATTTCTGAAATTAAACTGAAAGAGTGAGCACTAGGACAAAATACAGCTGAGTAACCACTAACTACCATGTTACTTCGCTCAGTCCATTCCAGCTGCAAGGTAAAACATGTTAACTGTCACAGCCTTCCTCGAGATTTGAGCTCTCTCACTTTATTCTGCAGCTGGGAGGTAACCATCAGCTGCCTAGGCATAGTCAAGCTTATGGCGACCACCATGTAGAAATGCAGAATTTCTGCAGTAAAAGGAGTCATTAAACGCTGTATGTGGACTCAAATATTAGAAAGAGAACCTGAGTTTTGTAACATCCAGAAGCCAGAGCTGCTGCAACAACGTGTTGAATAGAGTATTGCACTTACAGCTTATTTCCAGAAATCTCCTTCTTCACTGAATTCACACCAAGGCAACTGCAAACAACTGTATAAAGGTGTTTCATGCAGAAGGTCCAGCAGCTCTGCCCTGCACGTCTTTATATACCTCAGGCCACAAGATGTTGCCCAGCTTCCTTTTCAAACTTCAGACCTTCAGAAAACTGTCAAAGCCACTAATTATAATGTGCTCTAGAGAAAGTACAGGGGATCAGAGGAATTTCCAATGTCCTAGTGCAACGCCTAGGCTGAGCCACATGCTCAGATAATCCTGAGAAACAGAAATTACTGTATATTTAAAAAAATACAAAGATCATATGGAATGGTTTGGATTGGAAGGGACCTTAAAGATCATCTAGTTCCAACTCCCTGTCCATGGGCGAGGACACCTTCCACTAGACCAGGTTGTTCAAAGCCCCATCCAGCCTGGCCTTGAATACTTAGAGGGCTGGGGCAGCCACAGCTTCTCTGGGCAACCTGTGCCAGTGCCTCATCACCTTCATAGGAAAGAATTTCTTCCTTATAGCTAATCTAAATCTACCCTCTTTCACTTTAAAGCCATTACCCCTTGTCCTATTGCTACATGCCCTTGTAGTCCCTAACTATTGCTTTTGGTGAACCTAAAAGAAAATTCCCTCTTGGCCTTATATCTGGTAGTTAGTTTAAACTATTTGTATTAACAAGCCAAAAAGTACCTGATGAATAGCTTTCTAACATCTTTAGGAACACCAGTGCACTTCCATTATCTACGCTGTTGTTAGTTCTGACTGGATGATTTCATTTACACAGAACTTACATCCACAGTGGGAGTTCATAAAACACTGTATAAATGTATTACAAAGGCCAGAAAACAATTAAACATAGACTACGAATACCATGGTTACCATCTCCACCAGGCACATTCTGACAAAAGTTTTCTTTTCCCTATTGAAATACTGCCAGAAAGGAATAAGACTGACCCATTACAAGGTTTCTGTCATACTTAGGAACAACCTGGAACATTGTTTGGAAACCTAAACTATTAAAATGTCTTTTACTGGCAAAAAGATATTAACGATGTGCAATCTACTTCAACAGCAAAAAGTCTTCTGTCTTTTCATTGCCAAGTCTATTCTAAAACGCTTCTGAACTGCTCAACTTTGTGCTCTACCTGATGACGAATGAAATAAACAAAGCAGCTTTGTAAAATGCATCTTGTTTCCCTTCAGTATGGAAGAAGTGCCTCACACTTCCACAACAGCAGGAAGAAACCCCCTCACTACGATCTGTTGATTACTATAATCCCCAAACAGAGGAAATGCTATACTTCTACATATTTCTGTATTAGAGCAAGAATTTATGCACAGCAAGGGCCTAGCCTCATGAAATATCACTCCCTTAAAGAACAGAGCAAAGCAACAGAAAAGGACTGTTTGTGGAGCAGATGAATACTACAAATACGATAGGTAGGAAAAAACATACAAGTTGAGCACATGACCTTGTGAGACGTTGAATGCTTCTTGCCCAGGACGACATTGTTTTTTTCATAATCTCAAAGATCCAGGTAGACTCTAGAGATCCATTTGGTTTTGAAGGATGTGTCCTCTGAGAGAATGACATCAAAGCAACCCTATACAGAAAAGTTTTTCAATTTTCAGTTCCCTCCATATGTGACTGCAGTTGAGAAGACAACACACCCTAACGGTAGGGATTAGCAAAAATAGGAACAGTAAGTTGCTAAAATGAGTGATCAACACTGGGATAAGTATTTAGACTATTAATCTGAAAATTGCCCTCAACAGAATCTTTTTTCTTACTTAGCAAGCCTTGCGACTCATGGACGAAGTAAAGGAAAGATTAGAAGAAGAAGAAAGACAATGTCAAGTATCCTTGAAAAATTTGTGGGATGAATGTGAATCTTGTTTAGAAAGTACCTGCATGAGATATTATACAACTTGCAAACATGGTTTGTCAACATTTAGAAGAAAGGTAGGAAGAAATTTTGTATCTGGGAAATACTATTGAATTCACCTAGCTGTTTAGAGAGAGCACATCTTATTTTCTCAATGACCAGATCTGCCAGTTGTATCAGGTTACTAACATTCATTTGATTTGGAGGGTCTGGAAATGGGAAGTTATATGGCAGAGATTACATGCAATTATATTCATTGAACACTGAGCCAAAATGAGTTGGGTTGCACCCTGGCATGACTCCACGGATGCTGATTATTCCCCTAACTCCAACAGAGTCACTCCAGATCTACAGTGTTGTCTCTCACAGTAGGACTTGCATTAAGATGCTCAAAAACTGTTTGTGAATAATACCCCATAGATTCCTTACGGTCCATCTGAAAATCAGCAGAGTTAAAAGTGTAGCCATAGTTAGCAAAGTTCCATGGGAAAAAAAATCACCTACCTATACCACATCATTCTTTCCTAAATTAATTTTATTTAAAATCTACTCTTTAAGTAACAAAATAGCTGTAAAATGCTTAACTGTTTTTTAGTAAAGGAAACTGTCAGCAAAGGAGATTCCCATAGTTCTACCAGAAAGAAAATATGCTTTCATGGCTGGCACATTATTATTACAAGATTTAACAAAATTTTAATCTCATTTTTTATTTGGGCATATGCTTTAAGTGCAGCTTAGCAACCGAAATTGCACAATTACCGCTACTGAAATTTTAGCCAGATTACCTAGCTTTCACATCCCCAGGCACTGAAAAATGCAATAACTTAAAAATTAAACATGCTGTGTTTCAGAAGTGACAAGCTTTAGAATAAAGGTATATAACATTTGTGCATATTCTTATTCAGGTAAAAATGTCAAAGATATTAAATATAAGAGTACTGGTGATACTTTTGACTTTTTAGATACCTCTCAAGGATATCTCAAATGTATCTCTTGGACTTTCAGGAGTCTGCGGATGTCAGGCAGAAATTCACAGAATCACAGAATCACAGAATCACAGAATGGTAGGGGTTGGAAGGGACCTCTGTGGGTCATCTCGTCCAACTCCCCTGCCGAAGCAGGGTCACCTACAGTAGGCTGCACAGGATCTTGTCCAGGCGGGTCTTGAATATCTCCAGAGAAGGAGACTCCACAACCTCCCTGGGCAGCCTGTTCCAGTGCTCCGTCACCCTCAGAGAGAAGAAGTTCCTCCTCATGTTCAGACGGAACTTCCTGTGCCTCAGTTTGTGCCCATTACCCCTTGTCCTGTCACTGGGCACCACTGAAAAGAGCTTGGCCCCATCCTCCTGACACCCACCCTTCAGATATTTGTAGGCATTTATAAGGTCCCCTCACAGCCTTCTCTTCTTCAGGCTGAACAAGCCCAGTTCCCTCAACCTCTCCTCGTAGTGGAGATGCTCCAGTCCCCTCACCATCCTTGTAGCCCTCCGCTGGACTCTCTCCAGTAGCTCTTCATCCTTCTTGAACTGGGGAGCCCAGAACTGGACACAGTACTCCAGATGAGGCCTCACCAGGGCAGTGTAGAGGGGAAGGAGAGTTTATCACAGTAAAAGTTATATGCTGCCCTGTAACCGCCTTTGACCCTCTTGGTAACTTCCTCAGTGAGCTATATGGTTCATTTGAAGCATTCAAAGTGAGAAATGTATTGTGACCTACATCGTCTCAAAAAAAGGGGACAGGCAATAGCTGTGGCTGATGACACAGAGGCAGCAGGGGCAATACTGGCTTAGGCTGCTCCTGCAGTGCCATTTCTCAACTCACCTTCCCTCTGAGCTGCACCAGCGGTCAGATCAAGCAGCTGACCTGATTTAAAAACAAAAAGCATAAGTGTATGTGTAGGTGCATGTGTATGTATACGTATATGTATATGGACATCTGTATGTTTGGCAGGGTGCTCCTTAACCCTGACCAGTTTTCTGATGCCATGAAGCGTGGCTCCACAGAACACTGCATTTGCTCAGGAGAAGGCAGTGCGTTAAGCACAGAGCAGGGAAACAGTGGCCGAGACCCAGGGAGTGGTAACTCTGTAAAGCAGAGTCCACACTTGGTCTCTTCCATCATCAGACGATGGACTTGGAGCCACAGTTTCATTGATTTTAACGGGTTTCAGTTTGCATAAGAACATGAGGACTTGGCTATTGGTGAGAGAGGGTAGGGTGGTTATGGATCACAGCGAGAACAACTGCCTTCTGTTCCCTAC